TAGTAAAAAATGAATAAAACACATTAATAAAATGAGGAAGAGTGTAGCAGCTTAAAAGCACTGTACTTGATCAAATCCCAGTTCCATAAGGGGTAAAGGCATTCGGAAGTAGCTCGAGTAATAGCACATACCAATAGCAACCAGTTGATGATTTACTTTTTCAAAGCTACTAAGAAACAAGCTGATGGCTGAATTGATTTTAAAAGTAAGAAGAAACTTTTGAATTCTCTTCTAATATAAATATAGCTGCGCTCGACGTATGGGAGCATCCCAGTAACATCATCAACACGGGATACCCCCCACGGCCGTCCAGCGATCTTGACATTCTTGTTACATTTAACAGTAGTTAAAATGCCCAGCGCATTTTTCCAAAAGGCACAATATGCGAAAACAGTGGTCCGACAGAGCAACAACAGCTGGAAAACTCACTATGTATGATGTGATCAAAGTTGCATCACCTAATGCTTTAGTGGTAATCACGAAGGAATTCGTTTGTTTTTACAATGCTTTTTTTTGCATCTGTGCAACGCAAGAACGCATACTGCCGAGGCCCCCCTTTATACAAACTCGGTAAGCTCCTCTTACATTTTGATGCAAAGTCCAAAGAGTCCATTTCGTAGTAAAATTCCGACATCAAGTTTGCAACATTACTACGGAGACGACCAGAATCTTACACTAAAATGCGAGAAACCGATTTACCGAATCTTTCAGTGTATAGAGGCAGTAATTTAAGACGGCCTGAACGCGCCAAGATAGCATCTTAAAGCGACTCGAAAAATGCTCCTCGAGTTCGGAACAACCGGACGTCGATGAGGTTGCCCATTTTGTGTTCGTCCTGAAATAACAAAGGCTGTACATCTTGTAACAGATAATTTTATATCAAAAAGTATCCACTTTCTATGAGATGCAAAGAAACTTGGAAGCAATCAGACTGACAGCAAACGATAGTCATCCACTGCCAAAGCCGTCGGTGGCTCCTTTTTTGAGGACTGCTTAGAAACAAGCTGAGGGCGGGTTTAAATCCATGGCAGTTACTAGTAACACTTAGCCATTGAAATGAGCGAATGGGTCATCGGCAGGGTGATTTTTGGAATCGAACTCTCGTCCTTTAGCATTAAAGCAGCGCTACTTGTCACTTTGCCATACTGGCCAGCTTGATTTTCAACATTTCCAGTAAAATCAATCACAAATTAAGTATACACCTGACATAAAAAAAAAGAACAGCGCTATTTTCCAGCCTCTAAACTACAGCATAGCAACAACCGCGCTCCATGTCCTGCATAGCTCTAGGCTGAGATCGACAAGAATTCAGAACATCTTAGCACGTCCCGCGTAGTTCAGGCCAGAACAGCCAAATGATATATCTGGACTGAAGGCTCGACAAGTCAAGTGGCAAAAAATGAAGCGGCTTGTAGATCACTGCCAGCGGTATAATGTAGCCAATTTAGAAGCTGACAGGTATCTATTTCTTACGAGAAAAGAAGTTATTCGTTTTCTAAGCGGCTTTTTTCAAGTTTTACTGACGAAGTCCAGCTGCGGTACTAGAAGGTGTATACAATTTAATGATCGAAACAACTTTATCCTAACTGTTGCTATAACGTACACAAATTTATGTAATGCCTCTGACTTACATCTATCTACATTATTATAACTACTTCGGTGTGCTTATTCCTTTCTCCTTACTTTTATTCACTTTCAGCTAATTATATCGCTGCAATGACTTCACACTGTTTTTAGCAATCGTAATAAACGCCGTGATACCTCTCAATAAAGAAAGGCAGACGAGAGCATCCCAACATAAGGATATCTGATCTAAGGAAGGTCCTTGGCAGCCTGATGCTGCAGTCCTTCGGGGAGGAATTCTGGTACAAATAGCTGAACTCACTTACTTTACCAGATCGGCACTGAATCGCGTTCTTGTATATTGTCGATGTCTGTTTTCTTGTTCATTTGTTCCAACTGGAAGGGCGGAAGAAAGGATGTAGTAAACAGCTGCTTCCATATAGGCAAGTGTTTTTTCAACCAAATCACCTTTCTGAAAAAATTCAGTTACGGAATTAAGAATTTAAGGTGCAACGAAAGTTCAGTTTCAACCGAAAAACTAAGTAACCTAGTCGACAGCACACCTGCTGTTGGTGCAAGGGTATGTTTTCTATGTAACTTCCCCGCAGGTTTTTGTTGCTGGCCCCACTGTTTTTTTTTTTTCAGCAGATGCTCCTAGCTAAAAGAATTGAGCCTGGCTACCACGAATGTCGGAAATTATTGCAATGAATCACAATACACACATCCGTGGCCATGTTCAAAAAAAAAAAACACCCTGGATGTTTCGTTTGCGGAGTGACGTCAAATCTCACATGTTCAAATGCGAAAGGGACGTGAATACTGTTTTCACGCGTGTCTGTCCAAACACGGTCCTCGGCCGCGTCCAAAATAGTTCAGCACTTCAGATGCTTCGGTTACGGGGTTACCCCAAATTTCACCTGTTCGTGTACAGGGAAACGGAGTTTTTTTTTTTTTTGAGTGCATCTGCCCAAACGCGTTCGAGGGACCATAGAAACAATCAGATTCTCTCGAATGGACAGCGTGTAGGATATGTTTAGGATCATGTAAGGAATTACGCCGAGTGAATATTGGCAAATCACGTAAAAAAAAAAAAAAAAAAAAACGAAAACCTGCTGGTCGGCTTTACGTCTTAGTGGTTCCGCAACAT